GTTTTAGGGTTTCGGCCTAGTTCCCAAGTCGCGCCTGTGATGTTTGGCCCAAGTCCTGGCTTCCGTTTCCCTTTTGTAATGCAGTTGTGAGCTCGGGATCTGTCCGCAGCCCAACATGACTGTACCTCTACTCTATAATAAAGAGACCTCTGTTGCTGTGATATTCTGTCTCCCTGTGATACCAGCACTGTTTCCTGGGACTGGTATCGATTAACAGGCTAAATTGGAGCGTCTCGGGCTAGTTCCGGTCGGGACTAGTTCGGGGCGTGACATTGTTAAACTGAGATTTATGTATAATTGGGACTTTTGTTAAATTGGCACCTATGTCAAATGGAGATTTCTGTTTAATTGTGACTGATGCTAAATTGGGACATATGTTAAATTGTGACTTATGTGAAATTAAGTTATTGGGACTTATGTGAAAATAAGTTAAATTGTGACCTATGTTAATTTGAGATTTATGTATAATTGGGACTTATGTTAAATTGAGATTTATGTATAATTGGGACTTATGTTAAATTGAGATTTATGTATAATTGGGACTTATGTTAAATTGGGACTTATGTCAAATTGAGACTTATGTGAAATTGCGTAAAATTGGGACTTACGTAAAATTGGGACTTATGTCAAATTTTTTTACGTCAAGTTGGAAGATGTCGAACGAAAAGGTTCCATCGAACGCACCAATAGCGCCTCAAGAAGGTAACGCTCCTCAAAATTTCGGTAGCAATAAGCAGCCAGACGCTTCTAGTGAATAAACGTGGCGCACACCAAGTGACCCGTTTCCAATGGAAATAACACAAGTCGCCCCCCGCGATGATGATCCGGACTACATACCTATCGAACAGGCCGTAAGTGCTGAAAATCGTTAGCCATGTATTATTCCCTAACTATGATGTGACATGAACCTAATGGTGTATAGAGTTACCTATTCTGTGCAGATGGTAGTCCGACGCCGCTCGAAACGTAAAGCCGGGAGGAACAGGACAGAGCAAGAAGTTGAGATGGACACCGCTACGTCTGCACCTGAACGTACGGAGACATCTACAAGTGCAGGCGGGAGTGGGAAAAAAAGACGTGGTGAGAGAAGCAAGAATAAATTACCCAAGGAAACTTACAACGTGATTGCTCTCGATCAGGATGGGAAGCCCGTCGAGCCACCGATAGTGCGGTTCAAGTTCAGCAACGCCTGTGGCACTCTAGTCAGGACGCGTTGTCCCATTAATGTCAAGTTGTGGGAAACAGTGGACGACAACATCAAGACACTTCTCTGGAATGAGTTGCAGAAGTATTTTGTGTTCCCTCCTGGATCAGAGGTCAGGGGGAGAGATTACGCACTTAAAAAGATGGGAGATCGATGGCGACAGTGGAAGTCCGATCTAAATCGGGATTATGTTCAGAAGAATCTCCCACCGTTTACGGATTATGGACATATATCGCAGGCTGACTGGGACACGTTTGTTGCGGATCGTACAATAGCTGAAGCATTGGCTTTGAGGAAAAAAATGTCCGAGCTCGCGAAGAAGAACAGATATCCCCATAGATTGGGGTCGAGCGGATACGCTGGTCACGTCGATCAATGGCGGGAGATCGAGCAAAGATTTGCCGCGGCCGGTAAGCCCCTGCTGGTAGACCCCATGGTTGAACGTAGCAAGAACTGGGTTTGGGCGCGCAGCACAGGTCAAGTCTCGGATGAGGGAGACATACTATTCGAGACTCCAGACATAGAAGAAGTGACTACTAATTTGCAGCAGATAGTCGAGAAAGAAAGATCAGGACAGTTCGTCCCATGGAGGGAGCGAGATCAGCTTACTGCGGCGTTGGGGACGGCTGAACACTCTGGACGTGTAAGGGGTTTGTCCTCAAAGGCAAGTTGGAAGGTCGGGTTTCCACAAGACGCACCAAGTTATAAGAAGAGAGACAAATACAAAGAACAACTATCGGACAAGATCTATGCGCAAGTGAAGGAACACTTCTACTCGTTGGCAGCTGAAAACCCAACAGCATTTCCAAGGTTATTCCCTGATAGCCAGCAACCCACACAATCCGCACAGCAAACAACTAATGTACCCAGCAGTGTAGGCTCAGTGCAGACAAGTACCTTCCCTGTGGATAGTATAACTAGACCAACTCCGTGCAGTCTCGTCGTACCAATCGGCCGCGCTGGAAAGACTAAGGAGGTTGCAACGGGTTTAGCGATACCCGGACGTCAATTCCACAACACGGCAATCCCTGAGGATTACGCAAGGGTACAGGTCGCCAAGGTCCATAGCGACCACGTTTCCTTGGAACTAGACATACCTGGACCTGAGGGGATTGAACTTCTCGGTGATGCAGTGAATCAGTTTATCTTGTGGCACCGCAGAGACATAATCCTGAGCGCGGCCGTTCTTGCAGCAGGATCTTCAACCCCATCCTCAGCTGCCGCTCCTGCACCACCGTCGCCTCCTGAACCACCGTCACCTCGACATCCGCCGTCACCACCACCGCTTAGGTCACCGCCTCGCCAACCTACACCACCACCCTCCCCTTCTCAACAACCGCCTCTCCCGGCCCCGCAACCAGTTCAAGCCTCTCCCACCTCCCCAGCTAAACAGCATGCTCCCCCGGCTCCGCCCTCAGTTCAAACCTCTCCACCTACACCCCAATCTGCTCTGGTAGAACAAGTGCACATACCAGATGGTACTACATCCGAACCGAAGTCTAATACTTTGGAACCTCGTCGTATAATTCCAAAGTTGATATCGACATACGACCCAAAGGAGATTGACAAGGATAAGGAGAAGTTCATGTTTTCAGCTTTCAGGAATTCTGAGAAGAGAAAAGAACTTGCTCACATCTTGTCAGACTCCCAGAAGTCAGTACTAGCGGCCCAAGATGAAGTGCAATCCTGGTTATCTGCCGATGTGCCTGAAACTTATGAGTATGGCAAGCCATTCTTGCCAACTTATCTTATGAACAAGCTACCATGGGAAATGAGGGTAATGCACGAATGGTATATGAAGGCATCTAGGAAAGGTCTCGGTTTCATAAGCGTCGCCGTCCCGGAAGGCGCTTTCATGAGTGGTCCTAATGGGATATTTTTTATCTCTTTCCAAGACCTTTACGCCCTCTACAAGCTAGATAAAATGGACGTTAATCTCGTTGCGGCTTTCTGTCTGTAAGTCTGAACTCTTTATTACATGTTGCACGTTTCATTCGAAACAAATAAACCAAATCTCATTTCTTCTTTATTCATTGTACAGTATGCAATTCCACGAAGCTGATAGAACTGGAGCAAAGGTTGGATACGTCGATCCAACAAGAATATGCAAAACACAACACACCGTAGAGCTGAGACAGGACTGCGAGCAATTGGTTGGCAAGACCCCGGAAGAAAAGGAAGAATATGTGAAGACATTGCACAAGAGGAAGAAGCTAGAAGTAGCAACATACTTGGCAATAGCAATGTTGGCGCACGCCGACAAAGATGTCTTAATGGTCCCCTACCAGTTCACGTAAGCTCTCTCTTCTTTTTGTTTAATTAATTTATCTTCTTCGGAATTTTCTGTCTCCAATAAGCCTATCTTATATGTAAAGACCACTACATATTATTCCTTGTATATCCGAAAGACCAATTGATTATATCATTGGACCCCGCACACTATGACAAGGAGACATTTATGGAATTCCTCACTATTTTGAATTTGTAAGTGATAAACATTTCATTACTATAAATTGTTTAGGTCGATCACCAGTCTTCTAACTACTAATAAAACAATTGTTTCCTTCAAACAGAGCACACAAGTACTACCGCAAAAGAGGTGGACCAGTACATATTCCATCCCAGAAGAAGTTATCCGTCAGGACTGGCTGGCCGGTACTATCAAATTTATACCAATACAACTAATTATCGAACAGTACATATATACTAAATATATCTACTGAGATCGGTCCCCATAATTATATCGCAGTGCTACAAACAACCACCAGGAACCAACTTGTGTGGTTATTACGTGTGCGAGATGCTCAGAGTAAATGGGAGGTACAAAACAACCAGTAACCGAGTAGGTCATCGAACTCTTCTCTACAAAGAAACCCATCTCGCACACACTTCTCACTGAGTACCGTTTTATTTTCCTTTCTGTGTGCAGATCCCCGAAATCCCATATATTGCACAACGATTCAACCACACTACTATCTTGAACGTGGCCGCTGACCTCTGTCGATTCATCCGTCGCGATGTCTGCAACGCAAGAGGTCTCTTCTACGACAACCAGAGTGAACTCGCAATGGACGACAAATTTAAACCTCTCAGAGAGTGGGAGAAAGAACATATGCAATAACATGTACACTACTTATACATATGATGAAAAAACTGTGCCACTTGTATTATATATTTGTATGTAAATTACGATTGAATTAATGGTTATGTATTACATGTTTGTTACTGCGGCACTTGTCTTATCTTATATACTTACTACTCCGAAATACGATAATAAATCCCTCAATAATTTAATATTAATTACGAATCACCAAAATGCTAGAATAAATATTATTTTAGCTATTCGGAAATTGAATTTCGCATGCGGTCTACTTAAGACGCCCGCATGCGAAAATAGATCTTCGCATGCGGTCTTCTTAGGTCGACCGCATGGGAAAATATATCTTCGCATGCGGCTTCTTATATGGACCGCATGCGAAGATCTATTTTCGCATGCGGCCGTCTTAAGTGACCGCATGCGAAGATCGATCTTCGCATGCGGCTGCGACGGCCGCATGCGCAAATGGTGATCTTTGCAGACCATTTCGCGCATGCGGGCCGGCCAACCGCATGTGAAGATCGATTCCGCCCGTATGCAAAAACGCTTTCTGTAGTAGTGCAAGCCGAGCAGGCAAACCTCGGTTGGGTCGTAGCCGCCGCCGTTTAGTTTCTAGGCGAGTCGACTCCACGAAGACAAAGGCCGCGCGCGCGAGAGTCGTCGTACGTCATGGACAAACGGTTTTCAGTCCTCTTCATGTTCACAATCACGTGACAAATTCTTCCATAGTATGGGTAAGGAGTATGTTTCTTTCTCAACCACAAGGTAACTTTATAGATCAGGAGAGACATTTTTTCACTCTCTCCCAGTTACAATCTGTTATTTTTGGTACGTACTAATTAATTAATTAACCATAATTATGGAACACACAAGTTCGCTCCAATCCAAGCTAGCTTGCCCTTATTTTAATTTGGAGATGCACTTTATTATATATAGTGACACACGTGCGGTCTTCATCACCTCAACCGTAGAATTATTACACCCTGCAAACCACACACACATCGATCGAACAAATTAATTAGGAACAGCATTATTCAGTCGTCGTCTGATACTTATATAACAGCAGCAGAGAGAAACAAATTAGAGGATTTATATAGAGAAGTTGATGAGTGACGTACTGTTGGTAGTCGATGAAGACCTTGCCGGCGTCGGGGTTGGCGATGATGGCGAAGGCCTCCTGCGAGAGGTCGATGGTGCCCGCGCAGCCGGAGGGGCAGTGGTCGACGATCTTCACGGTGACGCTCTGCCCGGTGCACGGCTGCGGCACGCCCTGGTTGGTCGGGCCCGTGCACGTCACCACGTACTGCTGCCCGCACGCCGCCCCGCCGTTCCAGAACACGTCGCTCGCCGCCGCGATCATCGTCCCCTGGTCCTCGAACCCGTAGCACGCCGACGCTGCATATATACATTGATTTAACACACATCTCTCTTATCAATTTTACTTCACGTATGGATGATCGACGAATGAAATATGTAGAAAATTTACTGTACGTACGAGTGTAAGGGGGCGTGTAGAAGGTCGCAGTGCCAGAGTCCGCAGCGACCAGCGACACCATTGCAAGCGCTACCACGGCTGCAATGACAACCGAAGTGATCACCTTAGCCATCGTCGTCATCGCGATCAATTCGATCGATCAGGTGTAATCTCTGGGAGTCTGAAAGATATATTAATTCTTGCAGGAGAGATGCAGCGAACTGAAGCTGACTTGCAGGGTTCAGTTTGCACCGGCCGTTTTATAGACAAAGGTTGCGTAGGAAAACACGCAATGGCGGGCCGTGTTTCCAACGTCGCCGCTGCATGTACAGGGCGCAAACCTGAGATATCTTCCAATACGGACGCACGCTAGGGAACTCCAAACCAAGAAGATCCACAAAAAACACACATTGACACGAGAATCGATCATAATTACTCGATATCTTCTCGCTTGTTCGTGGACCGATTGCACGCAGTTTACTGTTGCCTGTGGAATACTCCTGGAAGTCCGCGAATACGACCGGCGACCGGTGCTATACGCGCGCGCGCGGCTCACCTCGTGTTGAAGCTTGCACATGAACGTCCTTGTAGTGTGTCACCGCACGCTAGCTAGTTCTCCGCGAAACTAACACGGCGCAGCCTGCTCAGTTGTCTGACGCGCGCGGCCCGGCGGCGAGAGAGGAGACAGCCACCGAACGGTGATATGATTACCAACTGGGGCCAAGTGCCCGGCCGTCCGTTCGATCGACTGTGTGTTTGGCGCCGCCGTACGTAGAAATCGATCGCGCGCGCGGCTCTCCGAGTCCGAGGTCCAAAGGCAGCCGCGATGCGAGCGTGTGCTGCACGACACGGCCGCTCGAGGCTGCTGCACGGACGGGCCGTAGGTCTTCAGCGCGCGCGGCCGGAAGGCTTCGCTGCTATGAGTAGGCCACGTCACGTACAGAGCGGTCTGAAAGCCTAGCAAAGCTGCAAGGGACGACGGGACGACGAGTGGTGGTATTGAATGGGAATATCCAGTTTGATTCGTTCAAATATAAGTCCAATCTGGTTCAAATTCTTTACATATTTTTAACCTAGCTCCAACTATTAAAATCGGTACAAAATAACTCCCTTGGTGGTATTTAGGGTGGTTTTAATTAAGGCTGTGAACTCACCTCCCGCGTACGTAAAACGGAGCGACAAATATCTATCTAATAAGGACTAATATTTATCCACGGGGATAAATATGTACATTCAAGGTCTTTGTAATCTATCTCTCAATCAATACATCTCTTGGCATATCACCACCCTCTTTTCCAAGGTTTTTATCACTGGCGGAACTTAGCACTTGACGCAGGGTTGCATCGTTTCGATCTCCAGCGAAGGGGTAAGTCCTAAGTTATGTTGGCCCTGATAATTGTATAGGCTATATGACATTGTTCAAGACTGCGTCTCTTCGATCTCTTCGATTGTTCTGATTTGGTTGGTATATTTGTCTACATGATATTTCAATTCTATGTTTAATTGCATTGTGTTTAAAGATACATCGGTTTAGCTGGGACTATCTCGGTTAGGTCCGATCTTATGTCTTAGCAGATATATCTTTACAATCATAATGATGTTTTAAATAGATTTTTTATATTCATCACTTTAATATGATTTATCGACTTTACTAGTTTATTAGGTTTATTTGTTGATGTAAACTTATGCATCGGTTTGGTCCGACCTATTAGTTAGGTTTACTGTTGATTAATAGATCTAATCTAGCTAGCCTGGTAACTCACGTATATTGTTTTATCGGAATGCTAGCAGATAAGTTATCTTTACATCGATCTTCCAACCGATGTATTCTTTAACCATCGAGCCTACGTTTAATATTTTGTTTCAATATTGTCCGATTGGTTCATTGGACATCTACTTCATCATATTATCATCGGTCGATTGGATTGTTTATTCAAGTTCTTCCATTATTTTTATCTACATGTCAGAATCTACATCGAATATATAGCCGATTAACCCTATTGACATGGGCTAATATCGCTACATCGGCTTATTGACCCATGGACTCTTTGATTATTAGTTTATCTATCTTGTCAATTGCAGAATCAAACTGACTGGTACGTGCATACCTCATCAAGATCTAGGACCTGCACTAGAGCTAAGTAGATCTCCTAGGCCTTCATGTTTTTCGCGTCAACGAAACCTGACCTCAAGTGTCTCTTTTTTGAAGCCTTCTGATACATAGTGAATCGGTGGGGGATGATGCAGCTCGCCACAATCGATAGATGGTTGGCCGCTCGTGGGTGTGACATTGTGGGAGGTTTGGTGTCAACCGGACCTTAGCTATTGACTGGTTTGACTAATAAAAGAACCGGGCTTGAGATTTGGGAAAGAGTCCGATCGTCCGGTCTGACTGGTTTAGAGCATCTCGAATAGCCTCTCCATCTCACTCTCCAAGTCAAAGTTTAGCAACTTTGAACAAAACTCGCACTCCAATAGCCTCCCCATCCCACTCTCCAAACCATCTAGATGGCCAAACTCCTTCCCTCACTAGCCAAACTTGGCCAACCTACTCCACTTGCCATTCGTTTTCCATCCGCGGGACCTACCACCTTCCATTCACTTTTCCTCTGTTCGGGAGCAACGTGGCCGAGGGGGAGAGCCGATGGTCGAGCCGCATTGGTGGCCTCCGCGCCGGTGGTCAAGGCGGTGCCAAGATCTCTGGAAGCGGTGGCACCTTGCAGTACAAGCTGGTGAAGAAGCAACTCCGCCACGGACCACTGGTGTTGTCCTTTGGCCCAGCATCGCCGTCGCCCTTGCCAACGTGAGCAAGAAGGCCCACACCACCCGTCCACCTGAATCCTCACCGCTGCCTCCATGCGATCTCCGTCCCTACGTGGATTTGACCGACGGCGTGGATTCGGGAGTTGCGCGGTCTCCGCCTTCATTCGACGGGTCGTCGTCGAGGTCGTTGTAGCGAGCCGCCGCTGTCGTCGTCAGCCTCTGCACGGTCGCCGTCGCACGAGAAGAGGACCGAGAGAAGAGGAAGAGGGAGAGAAAGAGGAGGAAGAAAGTGTAGTAGAGGCTGGCATGTGGATTCCAGTGTCAAAGGCTTATAATGGAGAGTGTAGATAGAGACTGTTGGAGTGAGAAATGAGTTTGGCTTGACTAATCAATTGGAGAGCTGACTATATAGGTGTTTGGAGAGACTGTTGGAGATGCTCTTAGTTGGTGGGTCAAACAAGCAGGACATATCTGATTTAATCGGGCCTGCAATTGGCCCATTATTATTGATGGGTCAACATGACTATTTGATAGTACAATATATATCCTAGATTTATGAGCTGTTATAATGGAATATATGTAACTTTGTGTCACTAAGAAGGAAGAGCAAGCGTTATGGATGTAGCATCTTCAACTGATTCAAAGTAACTACGAATTTTTTAAAGTTTCATGAGCTTGGTACGTGTCGAGAGGTCGATACTTGAGTACAATGATTGTCCGTGCGTAGAGAGGCATGAAAAAATTGTTGAAGCGTTCCTACCTCCAAAGAGGCCGCTGTACGTGTTTATATAGCAAAAACAGGAAGAGTACAGATCAGATTACAATCCGAGTCTGAATAAGTTCTTTACTTCTATCTACCGCACCAACCTATAGCAGGAGTACATGACTCTATCTCTGAAACAGTCAGACAAGAACCAAACTAAGACTCGACAACAAGTCTGAAAATTATCTCTATGTTTAACACTCCCCCTCAATCATAACTTACACAAGTTAAGATTGTTTCTGAAATTATTCAACTTGTTCAATGACTGGGCTTTGGTAAAACCATCAGCAAGCTGATCATTTGATGAAATAAACCGAATCTCTAGTGATTTCTCAGCCACACGCTCTCGAACGAAGTGATAATCAACCTCGATATGTTTCGTCCTAGCATGAAACACTGGATTCGCAGAAAGATATGTAGCTCCAATATTGCCACACCAAAGCAATGCCGCTTTCGGTTGAGAAACTCCAAGCTCCTTAAGCAAAGTTTGTACCCATATAATTTCAGCTGTAGCATTCGCCAATGCTTTATATTCTGCTTCTGTACTAGATCGAGACACTGTAGCCTGTTTACGAGCAGTCCATGAAATCAAATTAGAGCCATAAAAAACAGCAAATCCTCCAGTAGATCTTCTATCATCAGAACAACCAGCCCAATCTGCATCAGAAAAACCACTGACAATGTTTGATTCTGATTTTGTGAATCTTAATCTAAAATCCACGGTTCCACTTATATATCTTAGAATCCTCTTCACAGCTATCCAATGATTAGTTGTTGGACAATGTAAATACTGACGAGCTTTGTTGACTGCAAACGCTATATCAGGACGGGTCAATGTTAAGTACTGAAGACCACCAACTACACTCCTGTAGTTAGTACTATCTTTATCACTCAACAATTTCCCTGAAGATGCTGAGAACTTTTCTGATATAGAGAGCGGTGTATTGACAGGTTTACACTCTTTCAAACCTGCACGGTTTAACAATTCATTTGCATATTTCTTCTGTGACAAGATCAGACCTTCTGAAATCGAAGTCACTTCTATCCCCAAAAAATAGTGCAGCTTTCCGAGATCTTTAAGAGCAAAATCACTACGAAGATCTTGAAGTAAAGTTGACACTGCCTTATCTGAGGAACTGACTACTATGATATCATCAACATATACTAGAAAATATATTGTGACGTCTCCTCTTCTGAAGAAAAATAATGAAGTGTCTGCTTTTGATGCAACAAACCCCAATTGTAGCAATTTCTGATAAAGTCGAGAATACCATGCTCTAGGCGCCTGTTTTAACCCGTATAATGCTTTATCCAACTTGCACACATAATCAGATAAATTTTTGTTCTCATATCCAGGAGGTTGCTTCATATATACTTCCTCTTCCAGAACACCGTGAAGAAACGCGTTCTTAACATCTAACTAGCGTATACTCCATCCTTTTGAAACTGCAAGAGATAAAATAAGACGGACAGTAGCTATTTTAACAACAGGACTAAACGTGTCCTCATAATCAATACCATATCTCTGTTTAAAACCTTTAGCCACCAATCTTGTCTTATATCTATCAATTGTCCCATTACTTTTCTGTTTAATTTTATATATCCACTTGCAGTCAATAACATTTGTACCTTTCTGATAGGGTACTAAATGCCATGTTTGATTTTCCATTAAAGCAAAATATTCTTCATCCATTGCCTTTTTCCAATTACTATCTCGCAAAGCATCTGCCAAATTTGTAGGCTCTTCAGAAGTACTGACCATACCCCATCGAACAGTACCATCTGTCCATATTCGAGGCTTCCGAATATTACTCTGTAACCTTGTGTGAGGCCGAGTGCTTATAAATTGATCAGTATTTGATTCATCTTGCACAGAAGATTCCGAGGCAGGTGCAGCTGATGAATCAGGAACCAATTCATCACCCTCAGACGGCAACACAGATGCTGAGGACTGCACAGGAAGTGCCACACTAGAAGACTACAACGGAGACAAAGCACCAGAAAACCCCGATCCCGACATATCAGCAGCAGACTCGCCATCTATATTGTCCTGACTGTGCACATGAGCAGGAGAAGCAAACTCAGGTTGCCCGTCGTGGTGTCCAGTAGTAGTAGACACAAAATCATGAGCCAAATCTTCATTGATTTGCTCCAAATTTTCACCAGAACCCTGCATAGCTGGAACAGAACTTGTATCTCCAGGATTAGTAGCATTAATCAACATGGAATCACTATCATGCATACCCCTAGAATTTAACAAAGAAGAGGGCAAAAGACAGATCTCTGATCGAAGCAAGGCTCCTGCGTTAGGATGAAGATCAACAAAAGGAAATATTGTCTCATCAAAGACAACATCTCTAGAAATATACACGGCCAGAGGAAATATCGAGGCACTTGTATCCTTTGTGTTGATTACTATAGCCAAAAAAAGCACAACGTTTAGAACGGAATTGAAGCTTATGTGCATTGTATGGTCTAAGATTAGGCCAACAAGCACAACCAAATACTCGTAGGAAGTGATAGTCAGGTTTATGGCCAAAAAGAAGTTCCAAAGGAGTAGAAAAATTGATAACTCTACTAGGAACACGATTGATCAAATATGTGGCTGTGAGAAAAGCTTCATCCCAAAATTTAAGAGGCATAGAAGCATGAGCAAGAAGAGACAACCCTACTTCAACAATATGTCTATGTTTACGTTCAGCAGAGCCATTTTTTTGATGTGTATGAGGACATGAGATATGATGAGCAATGCCAATCTTCTGAAAGAAGGAATTAAGCTTCTAATATTCACCACCCCAATATGTCTGCATAGACAGAATCTTCCTATTAAACTGTCGTTCTACAAGATGTTGGAAATTTGTGAAGACTGAGAAAACATCAGACTTATTCTTGAGAAGATAGATCCAAGTAAATTTACTAAAATCATCAATAAAGCTTACATAATACTTGAATCTCCCTACTGATTGAGGTGCAGGACCCCAAACATCTGAGAACACTAGATCTAAAGGAGCAGATGACCGACTAGTAGATTTAGGAAAAGGTAATTGATGACTCTTAGCTTGTTGACAAGCATCACACACCACATCTCTATGAGGCTCACTAACAGTAACATTGTTTTCTCTAAGAATTTTGCTGACAATATTAAAAGAAGGATGACCTAAACGACTATGCCATCTAGACTCTGAAGAATTTGTAGTTGCAAGAACTTGACGTGTTTGACGAGCATCTATTTTCTCAGGAAGAGGATAGAGACGTCCTCGAGCTCTACCTTGAAGAAGTGTTGTCTTCGTGACCTGATCCTTGATATGAAAGAAATCACGATGAATTTCAACAAAAGCATGATTATCAGAGGCAAGACGATGAGCAGAGATCAAATTCTTTTTTTGCTTTGGGGACATATAAAACTTTATTAAGATAAAGATCACGAGTAGGGGTATGAATAATAGTTTTTCCAATGTGACTTATGCTCATACCTGTGCCATTTGCTGCATGAACTTGATCACTACCATGATATTTCTCCTTCGTTGTCAGCTTATCAAGTTCTGAAGTTATGTGATCAGTGGCAGCCGTGTCGACGTACCAATTTGTGTCAACACCATATGATGATGCCATAGCAGAAGAGGCTGACCTCTGAACTTGTCTTTCATCTCCTCTGTAAGATCGATCAAATCTCTTCCAACAAGATTGAACAGTGTGTCCAATCTTGCTGCACAATTGGCACACAGGACGTGTATCTTCGCCACCACCATGACCTCGTCCACCACGGCCGCGAACAAAACCACCACGCCCATGGCCACGATTCTGATAGCCTCCTCGTGAGGCAGTATTTGCAGAAGATTGATAGCCTCCATCAGCTTGGAGCTTGAGATGTGCCTCGAACGAGAGTAGTTGTGCATATAGATCACTCAATGACACATAATCTTTAGCAGAAACTGATGCGACAAGAGGATTATAATCTGCATCTAGCCCTGCAAGGATATATGAGATGACATCGTCATCATCTAGCTTCTTCCCGGCCGCCGCCATCTCGTCGGCCAAGCTCTTCATCTTGGTGAAGTATACAGCAGCCGAAGAATCTCCTTTCTGCTCTCTTGCTAGCTGCGAACGGATCTGAATAATCCGTTCCCTTGATTGCGAGGAGTACATCTCCCCGATTGCAGTCCATACCTCCCTGGCACTATCTAGATGTGCCACTTGAACAAGCACCTCTCGTGTGAGAGATGAGAGGAGATATCCCAGGACTTGTTGATCTTGAGCAATCCACCGAGAATACGCCGGATTGTCGATCATCTCCTTCACGATCTTGTCATCGACTTTCTTGACGACGCTGATCATCGGTGACGGCACCTCCTTTGTATCGTCCAAGAAACCAGTGAGTTGTACCCCACGCACAGCCGGCAAAACTTGCGCACGCCATACCAAATAATTGTCTCTGGTCAGCTTTTCTGAGACAGGATGACCCAACACGCTCGAAAACGATGAGGAACTCGACGACGCCATGGCTAGATGAACTATGTGGAAGGGAATGGCTCTGATACCATGAAAAAATTGTTGTAGCGTTCCTACCTCCAAAGAGACCGCTGTACGTGTTTATATAGCAAAAACAGGAAGAGTACAAATCAGATTACAATCCGAGTCTGAATAAGTTCTTTACTTCTATCTACAGCACCAACCTATAGCAGGAGTACATGACTCTATATCTCTGAAACAGAGTCAGACAAGAACCAAACTAAGACTCGACAACAAGTCTGAAACTATCTCTATGTTTAACAAGGCATATGTGGTACGAAGATACGTACGAAATCACGCAGCACACATCACATTAATTTAGATCTTTGTTATTCTTTCATGTTCGTTTACCGATTTAAATTGCGGGGCCGGTTTTATAACATCGAAGACCCCGTGTTCGTAGGCCGTGTGACGATGTACGTTGTTGTCAGTCCTTTTCAGTGTTCAAACAAATATAATCCACAGGACAAATTCGTTCATATATACTATATTATTATGTTTCTTCTTTTCGCTCTCTCATACAATCTGTTTTATTGGCACCAACCGGAATTCAGCTGGAACACTGAACACACACGTTCGCTTCCTGTCTCGTTTGGAGAAGCACTGCACTTTATTGACTATATACTCCGTAGATATGCATGTATTGTCTTCACCTTACACCCTGCAAACCACAAACACATTGGTCGAACGAATGATCAGCCGACATGCATTCTATCATCTTCTGATAGTAGTACCAGATAAAAATTGAAAAATAGAAGTGGATCGATGAGATTGAGAATTTGAGATGCATGTATGCGAGTATATATGTAACGTACTGGCGGTAGTCGATCTTGATCTTGCCGGCGTCGGGGTTGGCGATGATGGCGAAGGCCTCCTGGGAGAGGTCGATGGTGCCCTGGCAGCCGGAGGGGCAGTGGTCGACGATCTTCACGGTGACGCTCCGGCCGGTGCACGGCCGCGGCACCCCCTGGTTGGTGGCGCCCGTGCACGTCACCACGTACCGCTTCCCGCACGCCGCCCCGCCGTTCCAGAACACGTCGCTCGCCGCCGCGATCATCGTCCCCTGCTCCTGGAACCCGAAGCACGCCGATGCTGCACGCACGCACGCATTTCACACACATCTCCACTTTTACTTCACGTACGTGTACCCAGTGGATGCATGGTGGAGAGAGAAGAAAAAATACTGAACATACGCGTGTAAGGAGGCGTGTAGAAAGTCGCAGTGCCAGAGATGCCAGCGACCAGAGACACCATCGCCAGGCCTACCACGGCTGCCATAACAACCGAAGTCACCTTAGGCATCGTCGTCGTCATCGTAATCAATTCAGGGTGTATCTGGAAACTGGAGTACAAGATCAGAGTGTCTAAAAGATTAGTTCTGCAGGAGGGTTGCATGGTTTAGTGTGCACCGGCCGTTTTATAGCCAAAATCAGAAGGTCGATCGGGTAGAAAAACACGCAAGGGTGGGTCGTGTTTTCAACGTTTGCGTCTGCATGTACTGATGTACATGGCGCGAAGATGCGATATCTTCCAATGCGAAGAGAAGACAGGCGATGTACTGTTGCCCGTGGAGAAAAATATGTGAGATAGCAAATACGACCGGTTGCTACGCGTGACTCACCACCTCTCGTCTTGAAGCTTTGCACGTCGTTGTAGTGTGTCACTGCACGCTTCTCCTCGAAACACGGCGCAGCCGGCTCGGTTGTCCGATGCGTGCGGCGGCGAGAGAGAGCAGGCAGCCACGATGATTACCAACTGCAAACTGGGGCGTAGAATCGAGCGCGCGCGCGCGCGGCTCTCCGAGGTCCAAGGCAAGCCGCGACGCGAGCGTGTGCCGCATGACTTGCAATCTTGCACGAGCTACGGCCCGGCTGCTTGGAGTGCTGGAGGCTTCGTCGATGGGCCGGAGGCCTTCGCCGCGGCGCGCGCAAAGGCTCTCAAAAGTCCAAGAAGGCCGATCAATGACAGCGCGCCGTCGGACGGACTGGATGTCTTCGCAGCTACGAGCGGGCCGGGTCACCGCACGGTCTGAAAAGCCCAGGAAACCTGCAAACGAGCGCCGAAGGAATAAGATCACTTTGACTCCCTCAACTGACAACTGAATCTAAATTGTATCCCTCAACTGTAATACTAGAAATTTTAACCTCTAAACTTAAAAAACCGGTGCAATTTGACTCCCTTAGTGGTTTTGGAGGGCGGTTTTGCTGACGTGGCGCACACATGGCAGTGTTGATTTACTCTTTGTCCCACGTGGCATTGACGTAGGGTTTATGTGGCATTAAAATAAAAAAAATATGCGGGCCCATTTGTCATTAAAAAAAAGTGTAGGGTCCACTGACATGTAGGCCCCACATGTCATATTCTCTCTCACTACCCTTCTTCTTCCTCCTCTCTCCTCTCTCCACTAACATGTATTTTCATCCATCTCATCTGCATTTGCATCTGTTTCTCCCTCTCACTCTTGCTTCGTGTTCGTCCTCGTTTGGTCTCTGTTTCTTCTCGATTTGGTTTTTCTGCTATGGAGCCCATGAAGCAGCGAGCAGCAGAGCTCCTCTAGCTCAGCCCCTAACAACCTAAACTCCTGAAGAAGGCACTTACGTCTGCGCCGAGCGTCCATCTGTACACACGTTCTTTGTTGACGATTTCTTTGCCTGTTGCTGAATTGAGCATCTTGAGGATGTTGTTGATTCGGTAGGGGTGGAGATGGATGAGGAGTTTGCAGATGGGTGGGGGCGTCAAGCCGGAGTTGTCGGGGGCGGAGACGGACGAGCGGCTGACGGGTGACTGCAAACATAAGGGCGGCGCAAGGAAGGTGGTTCATGGCGAGCGGGGACGCCACGGGCACACATGCGCTGGTCCTTCCTTGGCTCGACGGCGAGCGCCTCGGCGTCGTCTGTCTCCGGCACCACCGGGAGCAGCAGTACGGTGTACGGGGGAAGCCCACGGCGGCTGCCTCCTCCTCGGCCATCTTCCCATTGGTGAAGCCCACGGCGGCGGCGGCGTTTCTCGGCCTCGAGGCAGCAGCGCGAAGCGAGTGGTCTCCGGCGACGCCTTCCACCGAGCCATTACCATCTCCACCCGTCGTGGCCGATTCGGAGTTTTGGATCTGGGCTGGTGGAGCTTGGTGCTACGCCGCGGAGTCACCATGCCCTCCTGAGCTCCTCATGCATGGCTGCGCGACGCCGTCGACGGCGCCACCACCATCGTGGTCCACCGCGACAAGCCACCGCCGCCGCCGCCGCTCCTGCACCCGCTTGCCGCACACGGCCGAAGAGGTCACCAGTGACGGTCGGTGGCACAGCGGCGGCGGCCATGGCGTGGCTGCCCGCCCTCCCGCCCGCCGCTGCCGCTCCGTCCATCGGCCACCGTCGCCGCCGCCGATCCGGACGCCGCTCCCCACGTAGGAAGAGAAAAAGGGAGAGATAGAGAAGGGAGGAGAGTGAGGAGGAAGAAGGGATAAGAGAGGATGACATATGGGAGCTACATGTTAGTGGGTCGCACACTTTTTTTTTTTTGTGAATGATAAATGGACCCGCATATATTTTTTTATTTTAATGCCACCTAAGCGCTACGTCAATGCCACGTAGGACAAAGACTAAGTCAACACTGCCACGTGTGCGCCATGTCAGCGAAACCGCCCTCCAAAACCACCAAGAGAGTCAAATTACACCGGTTTTACAAGTTCGGGGGTCAAGATTTCTGGTATTGCGGTTGAGGGATAAGATTTAGATTCGGTTGTCAGTTGAGGGAGTCAAAGTGATCTTATTCCAGCGCCGAACGCGTGGCTAACCCTCCCAGCATTTCCACGCGGAATAAGTTCACTTAGTGACTCTCAAAGGTGATCGAAATCTAATCCGTGACCCTAAACTATAAAATTGGATATCTCGACACCCAAACTCTCAAAACCGGTGCAAATTGATTCCCTTAGTGGTTTTGGAGGGTGGTTTTGCTGACGTGGCGCCTACGTGGCGGTATTGACCGGGTCTCCTTTACACGTGGCGTTGACGTGGCGTTTAGGTGGCATTTAGAATTAAAAAATATGCGTGAGACCCGTTTGTCATTGACACAAAGAAATTGTGGGACCCACATGTCCCTTCTCTCTCCCCTCCGTCCGGTTCCTTCTCCCTCCTCGCCGCTCCCTCTCTCTCTCCCGCTGCGGGCGGAGACGGCGGCGAGCGGTGGAGGCGCGGACGTGGCGCGGCGGCCTGCGAGCGGCGGAGACGCGGGAGTGGCGGGGGCAGGCACTGGAGTGGAGACGGTGGCGGCGCCCGGGCCGAGCTCTACCGCCTCGTCACTGACGGCGACCAGGTGTTCTACGCCACGCGCCGAGGCACCCGCATGCTCAACATGTCCGACTTCTGCGACCGCTCCCGCACCGACGCCTGGGACTTCTCCGCGTTCGTCCGCACCTACGCCGCCTACCTCGACGACCGGCTCGAGTACCGGATGCAGGCCAAGCACGGCGGTGCCGCGCACCAGGGACGACCGCTCCGCGAGCAGCTGTACGCGTCCCCCGGGAACCGCTTCAACTACGACGACTTCATCATGAGAGACGACGAGGCCACGAACGCCGAGGCCGACAAGGCGATGGCGCTCGTAGCGAGGGAGACGCCGACGAGCGAGATGACGCTGGAGCAGCTCCTCGCGAAGGCACAACTCCTCGTGTAGTAGGACAACTTTCTTTAAGGATGGCCGCTTTTCACTAACCACCCGATTAATCCATTACTTAGTTAATTACTGTGGTTGCAATATTAAAAATTGGAGTTAAAACTAAATTTAGCCGTGATTGAATTTGGCTTGCAGCTGGCGCCGCATTGTCTTTTGCTGCCAGTGGCGATGGTGGTGGTGGTTCTTGCTCTTGAGAAGAAGCTGCTGGTGGTGGTGCTTGGAGGAGCACTTGTAGAAGCCGGAGGGGTCGGAGGACATCAGGCTTCTCGAGGAGAAGGCATCCGTGCCGTCGTCGTCGGAGATGGTGAAGCCATAGGGGTTGGACGACAGCTTCGGCTTCTTCCCACCATTGAAATGCCCATGAGACCGTGACGGTGGGAGCAATGCCGGTTATGCTCTTCTTCTTCTCTGGAGGAAGCGGGTGGCGGAGGAGGTCAAGCGTCTTAGAGAAGGGTCGACGCGGGGGAGGAAGGCGGCGGCGGTGACGGTGGAGGACGTCGTTGTCGTCGACCCCGCCGCGTGTGCCTCCCGCCGCCGCCGCCCGCCGTCCTCCTGCTTGAACGCCTGGTCGCCGTCGGCGAGGAGGCGGTGGAGCTCAGCCCGGGCGCCGCCGCCACTCCCACGTCTCCCCCGCTCGCCACCGTCTCCGCCCGTTGCGGGAGAGAGAGAGAGAGGGAGCGGCGAGGAGGGAGAAGGAACTGGAGGGAGGGGAGAGAGAAGGGACACGTGGGTCCCATAATTTTTTTCCGTGTCAATGACAAATGGGTCCCACACATATTTTTTTAATTCTAAATGCCACCTAAACGCCACGTGTAAAGAAGACCCGATCAATACTGCCATGTAGACGCCACGTCAGCAAAACCACTCTCCAAAACCGTCAAGGGAGTCAAATTGCACCGGTTTTAAGAGTTTGGGGGTCGAGATACCCGGTTTTGTGGTTTTGGGTCACGGATTAAATTTCGATCACTTTTGAGGGTCACTAAGTGAACTTATTCCTTTCCACGCGGCACACGGCCGGGTGCATGCGGAAGGGCCGAGAGCTTGCTACTCCTCCATCCTCCTATAAAAAACAATCAACAAAAATAGTACGGATCGTGATGTATTCTAATAGTATAAATTTGAATAAATATCTATCTAAATTTATAGTGCTATAATATATCACATCTCATATTTTTTTATAGACGAAGGGAGTAGCTGGCACCATTAATAACCCAACATTTTCATGCTACACATACATAAACGACATAGTAGCACACATATATAAAAACGCGGATATCACTACGTAAATATGTATAAGCAAAGCTCTTAGACACCTTTAAATGGACGAAAGCCTAGCTGTACTAACCTTAATATGGGGTAGAATTATATTTCAAAGTATACTCATATATGTGTAATATTTAAAGGCATACAAATTTTAACCCTAATATATTGAATCATGTCCCCACAAACTTAACACCACATAAACTATTACATCGTTTCCAAGCTAGGTGCATTCCCATGTCATAGAGATCTTCAACATTATCAATTTTATAGTGAAAATGTATTCGCATGTGTATACTGTAGGTGCATCCAAATTTAAAACCACGGACAAATAATTATATCATAAATTTTTTTATGTATTTAAAAGAGACCTTCCTAACACCTATTTCCATCCCGGAACTTTTGTGTGGAACCAAAACTTTTGATCCGGGAAGAATTCAAGACAAAGAACTCCCGCTGGAACTAATTATTAGAAGGTGGGACGTGGACCGGAACTTCTACTCCGGGAATGATTCGAGGCGGAGAGCTTCCACCCGAACTTCTAGGTGAGGAGTGAGGACCAAAACTTCTAGTCAAAGAGAGATCCACTTAGAGCAAGTTTAATAGTATAGCCCACTACTAGCTCCAATTCATCTATAGCCAATCTAATAGCCAATTCATACAATAATTGCTTACTATACTATTAGTATATGGTCCCACCTGTCATACATACATTACATCTTGGAGTCCGTGCTGCAGCTGGCTATAGATCTGTAACCCGCTGCTCTTCTCTCTCATCTTATCTCATTAAAATATGCTTGTAGCTGGCTAATAGTCTGCTAATAGAGACATTGGATCGACTGTAACTTTAAAAAGACATTAGGTCAGTTTTGGATAAATCAGAGTTCAAATTTGATGGGGTTTTACCCTATATACGAGGCAAGATCACCCCTCTTATAAATATAGGAGGAGATTTATTGAACCCCTAAACAATCAATCTACTCCCTCCGTCCACTAATATAAGGGATTTTGACATTTTGCTTCTACTGTTTGACAGCACGTCTTATTCAAAAAAATTTGTGCAAATATAAAAAACGAAAAGTTATGCTTAAAGTACTTTGGATAATAAAGTAAGTCACAAATAAAATAAATAATAATTCTAAAAATTTTTGAATAAGACGAATGGTCAAACAGTGCAAGCAAAATATCAAAATCCCTTATATTAGGAGACGGAGAGAGTACTTCTTTCTCTTTCTAGGTCTAGGAGTAATTTAGCTTTTTTTTTTTGCTGTTTTATATGAGTAAATCATTATCTACTCAGGGTAGCCGAAAATTACCATGTATTGTTTTGTCCTATAAACCATCCTGAATCTCCAGGAAAACCAGAAAGCTATTTACCACTCGAATTGGCGAGTTCTTGCTGATGTCTTGCTGGTCCGAAACTTCAAGAACTTACGGTCCATCCAGAGTTCGCTAGGGGGCTCAGCTTATCGGTGTGCTACTGTGTTCTCGCGCTAACAGCAAGTACTAGAATAACCCTAACATCCATAACTTGACCACCATACTAAAGTTGCTTCCCCGTGTCCGTGTGTATATATCTCAACTATTATAAAAATTGATAAAAATTGAAAATGTTTACTTTGTTACGTCACTCGTATAGGAGTCGGTTTTTAATTTCGTTCGCTTTTTGAAATGCATATCCACATTTGTTCGCTTTTAGAAATACAGAAGGAGTCATATAAGAAATCTTCTTTAAAAAAACTCGCATGCTAATTTGAGATAATCGGACTCCTAATTAACTACAACTCATGATTATATATATATATATATATATGTGTGTGTGTGTGTGTGTGTAAATTAACTGGTGCTACATGGAGTATGGGCTCCAAGATTCAAATTGAGTATATACCCAATTTAAATGAGTATGAATTTTTTTTAAATGTTTAGGTATGAACATTAACTTCTTTACTAACAAGTTCAAACAAGTTTGAACTGAGTTTGAACTTTTTTTTTTGGTTAGATTTTGGTTCTAGGTATATAACATCCAAACATATAATTCGCTAGGTATGTAATAATGAATTGTGAAATAAAGTTGAGTTTGAGTTATTTTGTTTTAGGTATTGGTATGAATCAAATTCATATACCTAGGTATATACTCACAATTTAATTTTTTAAAAAAATTTGAGAGATTTTGTTTTATCACGGTGAATTTTATTTTAACTAAACCATATGATAATAATAAGGTTAAAATAGCCTTCACCCGTTGTAACGTACAAGCATTTCTTTTCTAGTGGAGTATATGTGTATAGAGCTAGTATATTTCTTTGGTCAAAGTCAGACTGCTTTAAGTTTGACTAAGTTTATAAAAAAAAATTGTAACATTTTCAACCCAAGACAAATTTATTATAAAAATATATTTAATAATTGATTTGATTAAACTAATTTAATATTATAAAAGTTATTATATTTGTCTATAAACTTAATCAAACTTTAAACAGTTTGAAAATGTCTTATAACCTAAAACGGAGGGAGTATAATGCAACTTGATTTTAATTTATTGGATAAATGATCCAAAGGTATAAAAATTTACAACACTATATACGCTCTTGCACACAGTGATCATTATACATGAGCTATACACTAAATACACTACCATATGTATTTAATTTCGTCCAAAAAAATACACTACCAGAACATTTCCAGTATGTAGTTTACTACCGCCATCTGCGAATATTTTGCATGTACGTTTACCCCACCAGGGCACAACCGCCTCCACACGTATCATGAGCTGCCGAAACCCTGCTCAGTGACCTGAACTGACGGCATGTCGCTCCTGAACCGGAGCCTCTGCACCATGGGCTTCATCTTCTCGATGAGCTTTACGATGACAAAGAAGAGCACCCTGTACAGCACCACCATTCCAATGAGGATGGCGAGGTCGGCCCACTTGCTGTACCCGAGCTGTACCTGCCAGTAGTTCGTAAGGATCTCTTCACCGGTGATCACGGTGCCGGCGCCGGCTTGATCGTTGTATTTGGGGAAGGTGAGGCCTAAGAACTCGTTCTTGTAGAATCCCTGGTTGGCGTACTTGTGGAACGCGATGTAGTACATGGGATACTTCCACACCGGCTTTGGAAGGTCGTTGGGGAGGCGGAAGAAGCCGCCGTTGAGCATCATGACGCCCTGGACGCCGGCGCCGGTGATGATGCCCATGAGGAAGTCCGGCACGGCGCTGGCCACGATCATCATGAGCCCCTCCACCACCATCATGGTCGTGAAGAGCACCGCCGCGAAGTAGCCGAAGTGTTCGCCGCTGCTCTGGAGGCCGGTCAGGTAGTAGGCGATCGCGCCTGGCACCACGGAGATGAGAGCTAGGTACGGTGTAGACGACAGCGTGTTCGCGATCACGAACGACGCCACACCGTAATGGCCGTTGAGCCTCTCCCTCCCAAATATCTGCATATCATATCAAAATTTATGGAGTGAACATTTGGTTGGTGTATATCTTGGCTGTTCAAAATATATCTTGGTTGGTGTAAAAGTGTCCTTAATTTGACATTCAAGAAAATCAGTGAACAAACCTTCATGTCCTCAACGAAAGAGGGGAAGCCACCGATGGCCATGAAGGTGAGGAAGGCAGCGACGAACATGAGCATGGAGCCACGGGCCTGCAGAGATTTTCAGACGGTCATGCACACACAATTTTGCCAATGAGTAATAGATATTAAACCGCGAACAAATTAATATGGAAGACTGTGCCAGAGCCATGCATGGCCAGCAAACCTGGATGGATCCATAGGAATGGCCGACATCGTAGTAGATGGTGCCGACGCAGAGGCAGAGCGCGACGTAAATGGCGAAACGCAGCCAGTAGTAGCCCAAGTCCCTGTACATGTTGACGAAGGACCTCTTCGTCAGCACCCATGACTGCGTCAGGAAAGTTGGCTGCCTTTCCTTCTTCACCAATTGCCCTTCCTGCAGAGATAAAGAAAATTACAGGATGTGTAAAGCATGCATATATTATATATATATGTAGCAGAAAATGCTTTGCGAGATACATTATTGGCGCGTATTTCTTCGATCTGATGCATCACTTTCGCCAAGTGAACGGAGGATTTGTATGAGTTGACAAGTGTGTCGATTGCTTGGGTAGTGGTCATCGTCTTCCCGTCCAGACCTACCTCAATGTCCTGATGAATGCATCGTATAGAAGGGAGTAATTTATTTAGGACATTTAGTCACTTTCTTTTTGAGAAAAAGGATATTTATTCACTGATTCAGTGCATTGGCTAGCTTGCTCTCCCATGATTTGCTTCTCACCTTGTCGAAGTCCTTGTTGATGGTCCTCAGAAAATGGTCAGAAGGGTTCATCAGAGACGGACAAGGGAATCCGCTCAGAGCGGAGAACTAATAAACAGTGAAATATAGTCAATAAAAAAAATTAGGAAGTGCTTAGCTAGCAACCGGAATAAATTCTCATGATATTAGTCAATACAAAATAGCATGTACAGTCAATACTCAATTCAAGTTTGTTAAGTGCTTCACATTCAGATCAAAATCTCACAATATATATCTCTGTTTCATTTTTAAGAAAAACAATATATATCTTGGACCCTCCCGAGATTTTTTTTTCGAATTGGATGAAAATTTCTGATCCATTCAAATTTCTTTAAATCTAGTTGAATTTTTTGTTTAAAGTGGTTCAGATTCAGAAAAAAAAACATTGCATATGTATTCCTTTTCTTTTGTTTAAAGTGGCGGGGATGCTGTTTTGTTCAACAAAAATAAGCGGCATAGAAAATTTTGCTATACTTGTTCAACACTGTTTTGATTTTGTTCCACAAATGCTGTTTTGTTCAACCCTATTTTGATTTTGACAGATCACAGATTTGCTAGGGAGGAGAAATATGCTTTCCATCACGAAACTAGTGTGACATCTCACGGTCTAGGTTACTCCAAATTAGGGATGAAAACGGTTCAGAAAGTTTCTGATTTCCGGATGTATTTTCGAAAACAGAAAGTGTCGGAATTTTTTCGGTAAGTTTCAGAAATGGAAACGAATTCGGATTTTTTTTCTTGAAAATGAAAATGGATACGATAAGGCTACTATCCGTCAGAAACCAGGATCGATCGAGAACTTTTCATAAACAAATTCGGATTTTTTTCCTCAGAATCAGAAATGAAGTACTTCTCACATACAACTAATTTGCTCTAACCTTTTCTACTCTAAATGTTTAGATTTATACTGAGTACACTGAGATGGTTAATTAGTTGAATGGAGATATTGTTTTCTAGTTCAGTACTTTAGATCTGTTTTTCTTTTTTCCTAATTACTATTTTTGTTTTACTAGGCCATGCCAAACAAAGGTTGTCAATTTCAGTTTAAAATTTCAGTAATTTCGCCACCCCCACTGGCAAGTAAATATGTCAGCCAGAATTTTTGTTTTTTCCCATTTTTTTGTGATTTTGGAATATTCAATCAATTTTTGTTAATTTTTCAAATAATTTTGGCGAAAAAGTATGAAAATTCCTGAAATTTTCAGAAATTTTGAGCCATACTACTTACAGTTACAGTATAGATGAATATAGTTCTTGTTTTCATGAAAAGTGAAGTGTGCCACTAGCTGTATTATTATTAATTGATAAAAAATAGATAATGTCGATTTGTTGTTCTAGGAAAAAAAAAGAGCTACATCACTTTGTCGATTTGAGAAGTTCAATTTGAGGAGGTTTTATAATCCGATAAATATCTGTTACCATATTAGCTTCGATTTGTGTTCGCTCTGTTTTCATATTCAATAATAATAAATTCGGTTTTCGTATCTAGAGTTTCTGATTCCTATTCCGATGCCCAAAAAAAATATAAAATGAAGTGGTAGAGATGATTTCTGTTTGTTTCCGAGTCGTTTTCATCCCTACTCCATATCATAGATATAATGATCCTTGCTTAATTAGCAACCAGTAAGTTCAGTTTGCAGATCTGAGCCTAGAGTGATGCTACACGTATGATTTGCCGTTTACGATATTTGTACGATGAAACAGCTTATGTGTTTATTGACGCTGATGCTGGTATGCAGCAGTCGACTCAGTGCCATGCATCCATGTCATCCCGTTAGATCGTACCATGATTGTAAGTCCAAATCATGCGCACAACATTTTTCTATTGTCTTAAGCGCCGATCAAGCCATTCGCCACAAATCCCATTGTAAATCAGAAAAGACGTTTGTTTTCTACTTAACTTCATGGTTTTCTTTTGCTACATATAGTAACTTCTGCCTATGTATATTACCAACTTCGTCCCAAAATACTAAAATTTATGTGTATGTATCAGTTAGAAGTTTCTATATTTTGGAATGACTGTACTACTTCCCTACTCTAGGCCAGGTCAAGTATTTAGGTTTAATTTGAAAAACCAATAACCGGTGCCGATAACTGGACAAAAGTTAATTTAAATCCAAATTTCTGAATTCACAAACCGGTTCCCGGCGGTTGCAGCTTTAGAAATCTCGTGGTGACCTAGTGCTTCCTAATTTCGACTTCAAACCACACTTGAATACCTGATACCTTTGTTGTATCAGGAATTCAGGATTTGTGCAGTGTGTCTTACCTACTAACTGTATTGTAGGATCTTTGCATAGTAGTATAGAACCTGATTTGCAGCTTTCAGAACTGAAATTTTGCCAAAACTGATGCATCTGCACCACTGTATACTAGATATGATGCTGGCACGCGGCAGCTTGCAGCCGGAAGACTACTACTGCAGCTGCGTCTTCCTGTTGGGATCAATGAATCCGTCAGAAGGGTAAGCTACAGAAAGCACAAGAAGGTGCAAATTCGCACGTCACCGACTGATTGGAGTCACTGTGCGAGTGTGTTTCAGTGCATTGAATGTGTTCTGTTGCTTCTGTTCATGAGTAAGCTAAGTCAGCGTCATCTACAGTTGCAAACGGTATAGGGCTAGGGCTTTCGGATTTCTTAACCGGTCTCATCTCATTTAAGCTATATATCGGATGTGGATTTTCATCCCTTGAGAGACATCTCCTCGTTATTTGCATGTCATCTAAATAATTATTAAAAAAATAAAAAAATGACAGTATAGATTAATATGTAATATATCACTCCACGAATATGCAAGACTAAATTTAACTTTTACAAGTTGCAACAAAAATAACAAATTAAACTGAAAATAGTTATTGCACATTCGCAACTATATTTGTTATTTTTGTTACAACTTGTAGAAGTTGAATTTAAACTTTACTATTTGTAGAGTGATATATTTTATATTAATCTATGTTACCGATTTTTTTTTTTTTATAATTATTTAGGTGACACGCACAAAACGAGAGGATATATCCCCTCATAAAATAACTTTTCCCTATATATCCGAATTCTGAATTCTGATACAGTATGTTTGGTAACAATTCTCATTTTGCCGTACAACTTTGCAAATACGGATGCATAATTTGTATTTGGGACAAAATAGTTTGTACCTGGGCGGTGTCGGCGGCGGGGCCGAAGAAGACGGTCTTGCCGTAGGCGAGGAGGCAGAGGCCATGGAAGAGGCCGAACACCTCGGTGCTGGGCTGGTGCACGGCGGCGACGACGGTCATGCCCTCGCGGCGCGCCATGCGGGCGATGCGGCTGACGACGTGGTACGACGCGGCGCTGTCGAGGCCGCTGGTGGGCTCGTCGAGGAACAGCAGCGCCGGCCGCGTGAGGATCTCCATGCAGATGCTCACCCGCCGCCGCTGCCCGCCGCTGATCCCCTTGTGCGCCCACCCGCCGATCCGCGTGTCCGCCGCGCCCTCCAGCCCCATCTCCCGCAGCGTCTCCTCCGCCCGCTCCCGCTTCGCCGCCGCGCTCATCCCGCTCGGCAGCTGCAGCTGCGCCGAGTACCGCACCGCCTCCCGCACCGTCAGCGTGTTCATCAGCACGTCGTCCTGCGTCACGTACGCCTGTGGCGCGATCCATTCATGCGTTCCACGACACGAGATCTCACCATGCTTGCATCATTGCTCGAATCTTTATCAAAGAAAAAACGAGATCATTCGTCGCCGATCGACTCACCGACGTGCCGAACGCCAGCTTCTGTCTCCGGCCATTGATCAGGATGTCTCCCTTCTGGCTCACGCTGGAGCCTAACCTTCCTGTACCCAGAATTCATGCAATTCGATCGGTGATATTCGGTGTCTCGGAACACACGCAAGCCGAGGTGATCAGAAGAGTGGCATGCATCATATGTAAGGGAAACTATTTTAATCCCTCGAGGGATATTCTCTTGTTATTTACATGTCACTTAAATAGTCATGAAAAAAATTGATAAGATGTATTAACATGTGATATATCACGCCACAAACATAGAAGTTCAAATTCAAATTCTACATCTCGCAAAGAAAAAATAAATTAAACTACAACTAACGTATATTCACAGTTAAATTTGCTTTTTCGTTGCGAGATGTAGAAGTTAAATTTGACTTGCATGTTTGTGGAGTAAGATATCACATGTTAATATATCTTTTTAATTTTTTTTCATAACTATTTAAGTGACATGCAAATAAAGGATCAAAATCCACTTTCTCAAATGTTACCTGCTAAGGAGTCAAGAAGAGTGGACTTGCCGCAGCCGGAGGGGCCCATAATGGCGAGGACCTCGCCGGGGCGCGCGTAGCCATTGAGGCCACAGAGGATGGGAACGCGGCGGCGGCTGCCGCCGGCGGTGGACACCCAGAGGTCCTCCCACGCGAGGACGGCGCCTTGTTCCGGCCGGCGCAAGGACGACGTCTCTCGAGCGACGACGAAGGCGACACGGTCGTTCTCGTCGTTCCTCTCCACGCTAATCTCCGGCGAGGGCTGCTCCGCCTCCGCCGCCGGCAGGAACGGCGGCGGCTGGAACGATCGCCCGCTGCCGAAGGGAAAGCCTTCGGTGCCGCGCATGGAGGCGCCGAGATCGGAGACCATGCCGGCTGCCCCCTTGCGATCAGCCTCGTCGTCGTCCTGACGCCGCCGCGGGCTCGGCGTCCACCTCGGCACGGCGGCGGGCTGCTGCTCGGACGCCATGCACGCGGGAATACTTGCTGGTAGTGGAAGTTGGCGGGAGCTGATCTTGTGCTGACGATCGATCAAAATGGAATGCTTGAGCTTGAGCTGATCCGAGCTAGTGAGCGTGTATGAAGAAGAACAATGAGCATGGGTTGCTTAAATAGAAGCTTGAGGGACTACAGATGAGGTTACTTTGTACACTTGACTATTCCTAACTCAAAAATCATGAATTAGTAAATAATTTTCACCTACATTGTAACATTATCATTTCTTCGGGGTATATATATATATATATATATATATATATATATATATATATATATATATATATATATATATATATATACTCCATCCATTTTAAAATACAAACATTTCTATGCTTTTTAGTAAAATTAAGGTAGAGAGAAAATTTCTCTTTTAGTCACTTCAGTGGTCAAATTTTAAATGATTATAGCTATATATATGGCGCTATATTTTTCAAAAAAAATATTTAAATCATTGTTACACTATAAATAACTTATGCTTATTACATTAGAAGTTTCAATTTTTCACATTGTAATTTTTCTATATATAATACACAATTTATTAGAGAGTTCTGATTAAGAATAGTTCATTATCTACTTGAAAGAAGAGATAGGAGAGATAGAAGAATACTAGTATATGTATGGGAGAGAGAGCAACCTGAAATTAAGTAAAAAAAATGTGGCGCCATTGCCTAGATTTCCTATTTCCCTTCACAAGCTTCTTATTAGCTAAAAAATGTATAGATTTCCGTGCATTGGAATCAGTGCCCCAACAATGTTTATACAGAGAGGTACACATTATAAATCCTCAAAATACTTACATTTTAGAATAAAGGAATTATATGTCATGTAAATGATTATTTACTCGCTTGTCAAGCACTAGATGAATATCCAATTACATAAACTTTTTTTTGCCAAAGAAATTATGAATGTTCTAACGAAAGAAAATTATAACTGGATCTTGATTCCTGCACAAAAAAAAAAGATCTAATATGTAATCATAGAAATGTATATAAATTAATCTTGGAAATGAAACAACAAAATAAACTAAACGTTGTAATTTGTTTGTATCAAAGTTATAGCTATTTATACTATTCAAGTTCAAATGACTGGTAGACAAGAAAAAAAGATAATGCCAAAATGACAAAGTCGTCTTTAAAAAAGTGTTAAGTAAGCGTACTTGATATTATTTGCACTGGTAACAATTATTATAATATTTTTGCGTGGTACCGAGGACTACAATAAAACACGAGATATGCCTCTCGATACTGTGTAGGGAAGACTATGACCTCAACATCTTCACATGTGCATCGACATCGGTCGTACCCATGCAATCATATCCATTCGTTCCCCCTTTCCTCGGCAATAACGGCGATAACAACACAAGTTGTCACCGTTAGTTGTCTCATGTTGAGTTTCTCGACAGTACTTGATAGTTGATACTAGCAATGGGATAGGGTTCTCACTTTGGACTTCTCATTATGTCTAGCCAATCCCATCTTTCGCATTAATGTTACCTTTTGCTAGCTTAGACTATTTTGTCCATAATCACTATCGTGCACACCCATTATAATGGTCCATTCGATTTTTGCAGTAAAATTACCGTACTTCTTCATTTCTTCACCACTAGAAGTTTGTAGAATCTCCGCATTGAAAGTTTCTACATTTTTTAAACGATTGGCTCATCCTAGAGTGGAAATTGAGTCATTTTTAATAATTTTGTGGTCTGATTTGTCTAAAATGGTGACAACGTATTCCCTCTATAATTGCAATGAGCATGCAGAAATAATGGGTGTGACAAATCAATAAATATTCTGAAGCATGCCATTTCCCACTGCATTGAATTTTACTTTTTACAGTAAATATATTTAGTTATACTAATATAATCTGGTTGATCAGTCTATTGCCCCCAAGATTATGTGTGCCACATGTACACTAGAAAAAATTCGAGTGTGAAACACATTTTGTGAAGGATATATATCACTAAGTATGCATATCTCATGATAGTTTTACATCAAGAAAAAGGTTTAAAACAAAAGTTGACTATCTCATGTGATATTTTTGTTTCACAATAGTGCGTCAAATCTGTTACACCAATAATATGGAAATTACGTAATAACCCATTGATGTGAAAGTGAGATTGCACAGTCATTTATCACGACAACAACTCAAATGCCATCAATAGGTTGCACGTACAAGACATATGATGAATATAACATGTTCATCTGCCAACTTCCCACCATGCTGCAATATATTATGTGCATGCATGTAACATCCACAATAATAGCAACTTGCAGCCTTTCCTAGCCGTACGCAAAAACCAAAAACAACTGCAATATTTTTGTTCTCTTTCTTTAAAAAGGAAGGTAATTCCACTGCACCACCAATCAATATTAATTAGTATTTGTGATTTTTTTAAAAGTAAGTGCTCCATAATGTTTTTACATGAAACATATTACTCCATCCATTTCAAAATATAGCAACCTACCAAATTAAACATATCCTAGTACCATAAATCATAAATCTGAACAAACTAATGTTGTACTAGGATGTGTCATTTGTACATATTCGTTGTATCAGGATATGTATAATCCGATACTAAATTGATATATTTTAGAAAGAAAGGGGTATGTACTAAGAATATTGTATGGTAAAAGCCGACACATGGACATTCCTTTACTCACTACCTATCTCAAAATATAGCAACCTAGTACTAGATGAGACACATCCTAATACAACAAATCTAGATAGACCTCTGTCCAGTTTATATTATTGTACTAGGTTGTTATATTTTAGGATGGATATAGTACATGTCAGTCTAAAAAAAAGCCTCTAAGGTTTATACTTATTGTTTTTTTTAAAACACAGTAGAAATGTAGATGCTTATATACACGTGCATGCACTCGCCCCTATAGATACACACGCGCACACCCTCTTCGATGATTAGACCGGCATATCTAAAGATTAACGAAGTCACCACAGGTGCTTCGATGTCTACATGTATGCCGCCTACTACTAAAAAAATAATTAGTCATAAATACGAGTGCTCATGCTAAGTGAATCCGGATAGGCAAGTTCCACCATATAATGAACCTAACTAGCTGAGCTATGCTTACTTCGTCAGGTTTCTAATACTATAATTGTTTCATATTATAAGACATTTTAACTTTTTTTTATAATCAAACTTCGGTCGTGTTTGTAGAAAAACATAGCAAAATCGACAACACCAATTGTTTCATTAATTGCAACATCGAATATATTTTGATACCACGATTGTTTTGATTTGAAAATATTGTTATATTTACTATAAACTTGGCTAAAGCTAAAGAAGTTTGACTCAGAAAAAAATAAAATGTCTTATAATAGAAAACATAGTGAGCATTTTTATATCTATTGCAAACGAAGAAGCAAGCGGTCAGTTCAACTATATTATTCTTCTCTAGAGGTGTTTTTCCTCCTCAAAGGGTTATCCCTCGTTTTATATATTATACTTAAAAAGTCATAAAATTTTATAAGATAGATTAATATATGATATAGTAGTATTACTCTACAACATTTAAGTTAAAATTCAGCATATACAAAAGTAGAAAAAATAACAAATATAATGTACATGAGCACAATATTTACTACTACTAGTATATTTGTTTTCTTTAATTTATATAGGGCGATTATGACCTTGTAGGATACTCCTATATTACATATTTATTATCTTGAGTTGATTTTTTTTTAAAAAAATATGACCTTAATGTGATATATACACAAGGGACATCTTAAAAGACTTTTCCATTCTTGTTTACTGTTTCATTTGTTGTTTCGTTGCGTGCTAGGGCGTGTTTAGGAGAAGGTTTGAAACTTCTCTCTACCTCTATAACGTGTATAACGGAGTGACTCATTAACTCGTAATTAATTATGTATTAGCTAAAAAATTAAAAAAAAGATTAATATAACTTTTTAAAGTATTAATATCGAAATGAGCGCAGTCAGGGTCATCCACATTGAGAGATACTGACTGCTCAATCGCTTTCTAACATGGTGAGCTAGCTAGCTGCCATGTACTCCCTCCGTACTCGTAAAGGAAGTCGTTTAGAACAATATTTAAGTCAAACCTTGGAAATATAAATCATAAATAACTCTCAAGTTGTTAAGTTTGAAAATGTAAAAATTATATGAATAGATTTGTCTTGAAAAATACTTTTATAAAAGTATACATATATCACTTTTCAATAAATATTTTTATAGAAATAAGAAGTTAAAGTTGTGTTTTAAAGACCGTGTCGCTATACTAAACGACAACAACTTCAACGAGTACGGATGGAGTACGCATATACCCATGTGGCCATGCCTACCTGACATGGTTACGGCGCAGCGACTAGCGAGCCAAGTCGTCTAGACTCGAGAGGAGCAATTATTGGGCCAAGTTCCTTCTCACTGTGACCCAGTTTACTGATTAGGCCGAGTTCTCTGCCTCATTGGCCATTTGGCCTGTGTGCCAATGAAAACATTGAGTTGGATATCAACCAAGTAGAACTACACGGGAGTGGCACTGATGCACGCCTCTTATGTAGGAGTAGCTACTTAACTGCAAACGATCTATATAATGTCTACATCAGAGATATATTTTTCTCTTTCAAATAAACAGGCCACCACTGAATTTTCTGGTATACTCTATTATCACCAAAATTGTCCTCCATCCATTTTCACACCAATCTTATCATTTTCCATATGCATGAATGTGATGGATGAGAAAAAATGTTTGTCCAGAATGTCTGATTTGACCAATTTGAGGTAACAGGTCATGCATTTTCTTGGCAAGGCATTTTCATTTTCATAGTACTCCTATAAATTTTGACAAGATTTTGGGAAGCTTGATATGGTGGTGGAGTCATATGTGCATGACTCTATCTGTCATGGTAGAAATGGTGATATCCACTAATATTACACACATAAGTACGTTTTAATAGGAATTTAGTGGGATCATGGATATACCACCTATTTCCATCTCTTTGAGAGTGGGGACGAACTCATGTGGTGATGAGCGTGCATGTGTGTCATCTATGTAAATGAAAAAAAAAGATTTTAATTGGATTATGAAGTTAAAAGTTGGGCTCAACCCCAAGCTGGCTCATCGTTATCTTGGCCCCACGAGTGAATTTTCACCTATGTATTTTTGGTCAAGAAAAGAAAAACGTGCAAAATTGTGATAAAATGGGCTGAAGTGGTATACACAGAGATATGATAAGTCGTTTTGATTTTTTCCTAAATCAGAAATCTATAAGTTAAACCTAATTTATGGAGAAATGTAGCACTCTTGTAACACCAAATTAGTCTAATTAATCCTAATATGTTTGTTGATATTAAAAATGTTTGCTCTGTTTTTCTATAAACTTAATTACACTTAAACAGTTTGACTAAAAAAAATATCAGAACGTCTTAAGATATTTTCAGTAATATATATATATATATACATAATCTATATTGGGTAGACTCTCGAGTAGTACAAAAACATTTTTCCTTTTCTTTTCTCAAACAAAAAAACTGACATCATCTCACCCTTGCATATACAATGTTCACATATATCACACCACTAATATATCAGATGCCTATGGGTAAAAACCACTGCCCCAATCGATGTTGGATCAAAGGCTTCCTGCCGAGCCATTCTCGGCGATGTGCACCGACGGCGCGTCGCTCCTGAACCTGAGCCTCTGCACCATGGGCTTCATCTTCTCGATGAGCTTGACGATGACGAAGAAGAGCACCCTGTACAGCACCACCATCCCACCGAGGATGGCGAGGTCGACCCACTTGCTGTACCCCAGCTGCACCTGCCAGTAGTCTCGCAGGATCTCGTGGCCGGTGATGGTGGCGGCGCCGCCGGCCTGGTTGTTGGGGAAGGTGAGCCCCAAGAACTCGTTCTTGTAGAACCCCTGGTTGGCGTACTTGTGGAACGCGATGTAGTACATGGGGTACTTCCACACCGGCTTGGGCAGGTCGTCGGGGAGGCGGAAGAAGCCGCCGTTGAGCATCATGACGCCCTGGATGCCGGCGCCGGTGATGATGCCCATGAGGAAGTCCGGCACGGCGCTGGCCACGATCATCATCAGCCCCTCCACCACCATCATGGTCGTGAAGAGCACCACCGCGAAGTAGGCGAAGTGGTCGATGCTGCTCTGGAGCCCGGTGAGGTAGTAGCCGATCGCGCCCGGCGCCACCGAGATGAGCGCCAGGTACGGCGTCGCCGACAGCGTGTTCGCTATCACGAATGACCCCACGCCGTAGTGCCCGTTCAGCCTCTCCCTCCCAAATATCTGCATAAAGAAAACAATGAATTAAGTGAACATTGATATCCATTTTCAGATATAAAAGTATGTTACTGGGGTAGAAGTTAAATTTTGTTATAACTTGTAGAGGTTAAATTTGATCTTAGTGTATCTCATATTAATTTATTTTATTGATTTTTTTAAAAAAATAGTAACTATTTAAATGACATACAAATAATAAGAGGTAACATTGTATGGTACATTCAAGAATATACCTTCATGTCCTCGACGAAAGATGGGAAGCCACCGATGGCCATGAAGGTGAGGAAGGCAGCGACGAACATGAGCATGGAGCCACGAGCCTGCAGAGATGTTTTCGGACGTACGGTCACAAACACAGTAACACTAAAGGGTAATGAACAGTAGCAGTGTAATGAACAGTGATGGGTGCGGCTAATAGAAAGCAACAAAAAAAAGAAAAGAAGAAAAGAAAATGGGACACTGTGAGTGATGGCCATGGCTGACGAACCTGGATGGATCCGTAGCTGTGGCCGATGTTGTAGTAAATGGTGCCGACGCAGAGGCACAGTGCGATGTAAATGGCGAAACGCAGCCAGTAATAGCCCAGGTCCCTGTACATGTTCACGAACGACCTCTTCGTGAGCACCCAGGTCTGCGTCAGAAAGCTCGGTCTCTCCTCCTTCTTCACCACTGCCCCTCCCTGTAAAAAAAAAAAGAAATCACAGAAAGAAATTTTGGTGAATTTTACACGCAGTAATTAAAAAGCAGAAGCAAGGATGGATTGGCAAAGCTAGAAGAATTCAGAGATGATTTGTGTGACGTACGGTGGCGCGTATGTCTTGGATGTGATGCGTCACTTTCTCCAAGTGGACGGAGGATTTGTAGGAGTTGACAAGCGTGTCGATTGCTTGAGCAGTCGTCATCTTCTTCCCGTCCATGCCTTCCTCGATATCCTGATTGATGGATCGTTTAGAAGATACTAAGTTATTCGGGATCATTTTATTTATTCAATAATTCAGCAGCTTTCATATGGTTTAATTGCCATCGTCTTGATCTCGTCATTTGCTACTCACCTTGTCAAAGTCCTTGTTTATAGTCCTCAGGAAGTGGTCTGAAGGGTTCATCAATGATGGACAAGGGAACCCGCTCAAAGCAAAAAACTGCGAAAAATACAAAGAAAAATTAAATGAATTTGTGCAGTTACCTAATAATCAGTCAAAAAAGTTCAGAAGGATTCTTCTGAGTTCTGATTTCTGAACTATAAATGTTTTCCGTAGTGCTAGCTAGAGAGTCAAAGAACAGTGGCCAAGTGCCCAAGTCTGAAATTTCTGACGTTTGTCTATGGACCTACATACATGGTACGCGACCGCAGCTGTAGATCACCGAAAACGCGTGTTTTTCTTGATGATTTGTTCGTACGGTTTCCTAACTTCGACCCAAGTGTGGTCAAGGTCAAGTAATCAGCATGGTAGGCTATTAAAATGTCAAATGGGAGACCTTTGCCTTCAAAAACTAGTTAAGTGGTGTGTGACGATCCAATTGCTTCTTAGTTTCACCTTCAATCACACCTGATACTTTGTTGTATCAGGACTCTTTTCCAAAGTTGTTTACCTACTTCTAGTACTACTAAAAAAAATGATCCTTGCAGAGTAATCTGGGACTTTCAGCTTTCAGAACTGAAAATTCGTCAAACTGAACGACCGTTGCAGAGTAATCGCTGTATGGATGCATGCTGCAGTTGGCATAGCTAAAATCTGCAGGCTTTAAGTCAAGCTGAATTATTAAGTGCCACCGATGCAGTGAAACTTAATACTCCTACTCCATAATTAGGTGGATATGTTCTGCTGCTCGTGCCACGCTATTGGATTCGATGAGATATCAGAAAAATAAGACACGCGGCTCTCGCCAAAGAAGAACAAGGAGACAAGTTCACACGTCACCGAACTATCGGAGTCACTGTGTCAGACTGTCAGTGCATTAAATTCGTTCTGTTCTTCTGTTTGTGAGTAAGCTAGTGTCACAATTAGTTGGTATACTAAAATGAATATGCATGTATATATGCAGTTCATATATAGTAGTGGTTAGATCTAGTGTCTCCTTTCAGCTATAGTTCAGTTCCTGGTTCCTCCTACGTACTACCCAATGTTTGAGAACAGTTCTCATTTTGTCCTTACTAATTTTCAGGCACAAGGTTCCGATGTAATAATCTGTAGATTTGTTTCTTTCAAAAATAGTTTTTAGATTTGTAGTAATGGCTGAAATAATGTGTACTTTCTGCATATGTGAATTGTTCATCAGTATCTTATTAGAACTATATTTTCTATTCATTGTTCAATGACAACTAAGGATTTCAGTTCTACCTTTGATATAGAAAGATGCACAGCTCCTGCTTATTGTCGGAAAATAAAAAATCTTTTGCAACTATCAGCTTTCATCTGACTTTGCCCAAATCTTTTATTTCCAACTCATGGTTAGCTGATGTAGCCCGTCAAGTGTGACTAAACAAACTCGGCAAAAATGATTCTCTTTCCGAAAACATCTCGCAAAGGATTGACTAATCGCAGAAGAGTAGTAGTAGTACTGGTCTAAGTGATTCATCGACAATATGATAATATCATAGACAGTATGAATACACAGATCGACCAGGCTGGCTGCCAATTTTTTTTCTTAAAAAAAGGTATAATTAAGCAGGTGGCCGGTGAATGATAGCCGCCAGCAAAAATATTATTCTTTTTTTAAAAAAGGCAAAAATGTACGTATTAATTAAGCAAGACATACGTATAGATATACGAGTACGTATTTGTACAGTATACGGAAGCGTAGAAGCGTGTAGAATACCTGGGCGGTGTCGGCGGCGGGGCCGAAGAAGACGGTCTTGCCGTAGGCGAGGAGGCAGAGGCCATGGAAGAGGCCGAACACCTCGGTGCTGGGCTGGTGCACGGCGGCGACGACGGTCATGCCCTCGCGGCGCGCCATGCGGGCGATGCGGCTGACGACGTGGTACGACGCGGCGCTGTCGAGGCCGCTGGTGGGCTCGTCGAGGAACAGCAGCGCCGGCCGCGTGAGGATCTCCATGCAGATGCTCACCCGCCGCCGCTGCCCGCCGCTGATCCCCTTGTGCGCCCACCCGCCGATCCGCGTGTCCGCCGCGCCCTCCAGCCCCATCTCCCGCAGCGTCTCCTCCGCCCGCTCCCGCTTCGCCGCCGCGCTCATCCCGCTCGGCAGCTGCAGCTGCGCCGAGTACCGCACCGCCTCCCGCACCGTCAGCGTGTTCATCAGCACGTCGTCCTGCGTCACGTACGCCTGATCCATGCGTTCCACGAGATCATCCATTATTCAATTATTCATCGTGCATGCAGCAATTAATTCTGTACATTCGGGAAGAAGACGAGTCCATCTCTCGCTGACTTACCGACGTGCCGAACGCCAGCGCTTGCCTCCGGCCATTGATCAGGATGTCCCCCTTCTGGCTCACACTGGAACCTAACCTTCCTGTACGTACGTGCACCCAGAAAACATGGAGCTCGGTCAGTCGGTGTCAGAGTTCGTCTCAGCTAGCATGCAACTCGATCGATCACTCCTTCTCTATTCAATGAAATTGGCAGCTTGTCGATTCGTTCAAAAAAAAAAAAAACTCGATCGATCGCTATTTGCAGCGACAGGGATCGTGTTCGTCGGGATCGGGAGATTAATTGACGTGCGTGTACACGTTACCTGCCAACGCATCAAGAAGTGTGGACTTGCCGCAGCCGGAGGGCCCCATGATGGCGAGCACCTCGCCGGGGCGCGCGTAGCCGTTGAGGCCGCAGAGGATGGGGACACGGCCGCTCTTCCCGCCGGCGGCGGACACCCACAGGTCCTCCCACGCGAGGACGACGCCCTGGTCCGGCCGGCGCAACGACGGCTCGCGGGCGACGCCGCCGCCGCCGCCGTTCTCCGCCGCGCTGATCTCCAGCGACGGCTGCCGCGCCGGCAGGAACGGCGGCGGCGCGAACGAGGAGCGGCCGCTGCCGAAGGGGAACCCGTCGGTGCTGCGCACGGAGGCGCTCATGTCAGAGACGGCGTCGAACTGCGGCGGCTGGTCCACGTCGTCGGCCTCGCGGCCCTGCGGCCGCGGCGGGCTCGGCTTCCACCTCGGCACGGTGGGTTGGTGCTGCCCGGACGCCATGAACGCGAGAACGCCTAGCTCGAGCTTGACCGGAAGCGATCGAGCTAGCTAGCGAGGAGGTAGGTGGTGTGCTTGTGAAGCTAGCGCTGTGTGAAGAAGAATGGCGAGCCATGGCTCTTGCTTAAATAGAGCCAAAGCTTCGCATTGCGCCTTACAGATAAGATCGATCGCTTCGTACAATTGACTTTTGATAAATTTTAACTGACAATTGGATTATACGGTCAAAAGTGCATTTGAATTGTTATTCTATCGTAGTTTCTCCCATCTAAGCTGATAAGATCGATGTCCACGTAATTTTAGACAGTAAGCAATCAATTGAGGCATAAGAATATGTACAAGACGAAATGAATAGCATCAAGAAATTTTCAAAATCGTTTTTTAAGTACTATAGGGTACTGTTATTAAAATGTTGAGACATTCAAAAGTACGTACAAGCCTCTTCGGTCAAAAAAAGAAGAAGAAGGTACAAGCCTTCAAATTTGCTAGTTTTCATGATAAAATAGTTCCTAAATTTGGAATAATTCAAAGATAACTCAGTTTGGGGAGTCATTAATTGTATTTCTTATGATTTAATAACTTTAAAATTCTGAATTAATAAATATAATGTTGTATTGGTCTTGGGGGCTCTCGCTTTAGCATTTTATTAATTTAATACTAAAATTCGAAAATTAATAATTAGCAAATTGAAGTTGATAGACCCTTGCTTAAATTTAAGCCATTATGATTCGATCCCACATCGATATATGGCTATATTTATTCATTTCTTAGTGTGGTCATAATTTCAATTTTCCATGATGAAACAAAGAGTAAATTTTGCTTTGGGCCTCTTATTAAAAACAAGGTGTACTTGAGTCCAAAGTTGTAGTTTTTATTTTTTTATTTAGTAATTCTTACATTGAGAATTGATAATAATTATAAAGTTGTAACTGTCTGGGACTCTTGAACCGTTATATAGCCAGATTTATTTACTTATTCTCTAATTTTATACGGTTACAACATATACTAATTACAATTACTCCTATAAAGAAGCACATGCATGAGAACGCTTCTTCAAGAAGTTGAGCTAATAGATTTGAATTTGATAATTGCCGCATGCTATTTATAGTCATTTGCTCAAACTGTTTATTTGCTTCATACAAATTTCCGCAGCAATATGTGGATGTTAATATAGCTAAGAACACCTAATTAATATAGCTCGGAATGATAATTAATACAGAAAACTCCATCTTGAAACACATTATTAAATGATGACATCTTGATCATGTGATTGTTTTACATCAATAAATAAACATCTATATCAAAAAGTGACTATTTTGTGGTATTTTTCTTCCATAACGATGATGAAAGGGAGCGAGTACTGGATTTCGTTACTATCAATCACCCATCAATTAGCATCCCCTCTTAATTTGTCTTACGTGCTGCCATTTGCTGGGTTTCGCTGTACACATAAATATTTATCAAGTTCTTTTGTCAAAAGATTATAACAGTGAAAATTGCTTAATATAACTGAATGATGTACATGTGGAACTGAAATAGCACGATTGATATCGTCTCTACTACCAAAACAACCCATCAATTAATGTATAAGCCTGTCCAAGACATGAAGAAAAACAATAGTTCATCTGCCAACCTCTGACCATGCTACAATAACTATATCATCCACATCAATGGCATGTAAATGTCCAAAATAATAATCAAACATCCAGAACAATAGCATCTCCAACTGCACGTGAATAAAATGCTTGATGTTGTAGATTTTTTGTTTGTGCTTTATTTGGATGACATCATCAAATTTTTATAGTTGTCTTCTATCTATGTTGCTTTTTTATAATTTAATAAACACCGTAAGATTGTTTTATGCGCTAAAAAGATTGCACTATACTTCTATAATGATAACATATATCTTTGCTTTCAAATTAATCTATAGAACAATTATGACTTATAGTTTCTTTTGGATTGCTAGATTTTTTTTCCGTGATCAACAAAATTCTCCGTAGCAATGCACGGGCACCCTACTAGTATCCAAAATAATAAAAACAATAGTAGCATATATAGCATATCCAACAATTTCCAACTTTTGAAAGCATTTCCAGCATTACGAACGCGGAGGAGAACTCAACTAGGCCGGTCACCCGGCGGCGGCGGCGGCGGCGGGCGGTCAGCTTTCCAACGATAAAAATGGATGGCTTCTCTGCAACTTGCAATAGCAAATTGGCAGCGCCAGAGGTGGTCAATTCGGAGGCTCTAGATTTTTCACACTTTAGCCCTTTCAGAGAAAAAATTTACAAATAGATCCTCCAGAAAAGTTTCCTTCAAATCCTATTGATTTGTAGTCAATTAATTTTGAAATGAAAATGATAGATCAATATACCCTAACTCATTTCTGCTACTTTATTTTTATTTATAAAATCTTAATATGGGATGAGCATATATAGGTCCCTCCCTCCTCTACCCAAAATTACAAATCATATACCATAATTCGATTCCCCTACTTCCTTTTCAAAATTTGATAACAAATCAATAAATCTAGGAATGGGGAGGAGCTAGTACGTACCCACGTCCTCTATTTAGATGGAGTTTTTTATAAATAAAAAAACTAGTAAAAATAAATTAGGATACATTTATTTATTAGTTTTTCAAAATGTGACGCTGAGTCAATAAAATTTGAAGGAAAACAAAAGAAAGAGTTATTCGTAGAATTCTAAGTGGGAGAGTTCGGCAAGGACTCCTAACGCGCGTGTACGCGCCAGGAGGAGAAGCCGGCGTGCGTTTTTCTGACGCTAAGAGCGCTTAGCCCTAACTAATAGCGCTTAGCGCTAACTAACTTTTTTTCTTTTTTTTTTTGATAAAAATTCATCACGTGTCTTTCTTCCTTTTTAGTTGACTGAAACAAACTTTCAATTCCAGATTTGAACTTAGATTTAAAAATTTCAAGTTAAGATTTGAATACTTTCAACTTAGATTTTTAAATTTGAGTTAAAAGTTTTTAAACCTGAGTTAAGTTTTCAAATATTGACTTGAAGTTTTTTAAATTTGAATTGAAAGTTTTAAATCTTCATTTGAAAGTTTTCAAGTTCGAACTGAAAGTTTTCAAATCCAAGTTGAACGTTTTCAAGTTTGAATTGAGAGTTTTCAAATCCGAGTTGAAAGTTTTTAAATCTAAGTTGAAAGTTTTCAAATCCGAATTGAAAGTTTTTAAATCTTGAATTGAAAGTTTTCAAATTTAAGTTGAAAATTTCAAAAAATCTTGAGTTGAAAGTTTCAACTCATATTCGAAAACTTTCAACTCTAGATTCGAAAACTTTCAAGTCCAGATTTGAAAACTTTCAACTTGAGATTTAAAAATTTTCAACTCAAGATTGGAAAACTTTCAACTCGAGATTCGAAACCTTTCAAGTCCAGATTTGAAAACTTTCAACTTAAGATTTAAAAACTTTCAAGTCCAAAATTGAAAATTTTTAAGTTAAGATTTAAAAATTACTAGTAAACTAATCACTAGTAAAAATAGGGAACTAATCACTAGTAAACTAATTACGATTTTTTCTCCTATCCGTGCGATAGCAAACTGCGAAAAAAAGAAAAAAAAAGAGAAGAAAAAGCGGTAGAAAAAAACTGCGAAAAAAAAAGAAAAAGAATAGAAGAAACGTGTGCACGTACCGTGGACCTTGTGGGCCGGAAGTAAGCGCCGGTAACGCGCACGCGAACTAGCAATCTCGGAGTTCGGCGATGTCTGGTGCCAAAGCCTAATGTCGACGCCAGCACATATATTTGGAGCAAGTGTTCGATAGGGTGTCTACTCATGAAATACATTTTCAAAAAAGGACTAAAACGTCAAAAATCCAGATCAGATCGTTTGCTTCTCTGCTGTTTCGTTTTCTGCTCGGAAAGAGAGGTAGGGAATGGTCGCGATGATCACCATGCATGCACGTCGACAGACGTTGACCGCACCACATTGATAGTCTCCAGCTTCCGTCGTTGTGACTTGTGTGAGATGCCACGAGAGCATACATTACACATGCAATTTGGGATTTTGGGGACACATGCAATTTGGGGTTGTTTCCACGCAGCTAGCCAAGTCATGGGCTCTCCCAATTAGTCTGACCCGAATTTATTCGCTCGCTGCCCTAAGCAAGAATGCATGAAGACTTGTCAAAGGAATATATTACTGTACGTAATTACTGTAACGTAGGATTGGTCGATATATAGGAGTAGCCAATTGTCAAGTCCTATGCAAGCTAGTCAGGTCACAAAATTCTTGAAGAGATACTCTGAATAATATATGACGTGTCAAGTTGCTATACTAGTATTGTTTTATACTGATCTTTCTCACGTTACGTAGTAGTAGTATCCAATAATAAAGAAAAGATAAGTACGTAGCTCGACATTCACCGGAGCATGCATGCAGCGACTTACTACCTCCCTTTTAAAATAAACCAATTTACGTATTAATATGATAAAATCTAGTACAATAAATCCGGATAGAAGATTGTCCAGACTCACTATACTAGATTATATTATATCCTTATCAAAATTGATTTACTTTACGACGGAGTGAGTATCTAGCTAGATCAGAGCAAGTACCATAAAGATTTACTCCTAAGAGTAGAGATGTTTGCCCCTAGTGCCACATAAAATTAGGTGGAGGAAAAAAGTGAGGAGATAGAGAATAAGCCAACTCTCATGTAACGCGTAACCTCTATACAAAACTTCAAGAAAAATACAAAGAGAGTGAGATAGTGCTAGAGCGAACCAACCAAAAAGTTATCAAGGTTTATTTATTAGAGATAAATATATTATATATACATGATGCCTCTTATTCCTAATTCATGAGTAGATGATATAACTAATATTAGAAGCGGTAGCCACGCCACTAATATAAAACTACTCTGAGCAGACATGGGATATATTCTACTCTCTCTCTCTCTCCAAATATATAACAACTTCTAGACATAAAGGTCTGTCCCAAAATATAACAACTTTTTCACCAACATTCTCTTCTTAACCAATCGCAATCCTCCATCATTCAATTTTCTCACCTATCTTCACTTCTCAACCAATTACAATTTTATCCTATTTAATTTTACCTACTTTCTTAATACCCG